GGTTTTCTACAGGATGCATTTCGGAGAATGTGTGCAGGAATTGCATAATTTAATTCCACCGTCTTCCTTCCACCATCGGACAACCAGACGTTCGGCTAGTCTCCACCCTTTCGTTGTTGACTTACCACGCATTTGAACTAAGCGGTTCGCTACGTCCTTCATCATGCGTACAGCAAAAGAGTGGAATAAGGGAATAAGTTGCCAGCGTCTGTCTTTCCATCCGACTACAGTGTGGGTGTCTTCAAGACAAGAGTGAATAGGCCTTTGTTAAGTCAGTGCACTTCACTCATCTTTGATTCACCACAATATTCATGTATTGTGTACGGTTATTTTTAAAACTGGAAAAAACAACTTCGGGGCACTTTCTGGAGTGCGGATGGTGACGTTCACCCAGGAGGTGGAGATAGAATGGATAAAATTTAACTTTGCTCTATAACGTACATATGCCGTTGGATAAAAGTACTCCATTAATTTTACTTTAGCTAAAATGGTTGAACTATATGAGCGAGGTGTCATGTCATGTCGTGCGGCTTAGACGTGTGATATACGTGGTCGAAACCGCGGGGCACAACTAGTTATTTATTTCTATCAACACGCCTCGGATTTACCATAAATTTTTTGACTTTACAAGTCTCTAAATTTTTCGAAAAAAGTATCAAGCCGAGATCACACCTGACAAGCCAGATTTAACAAACAGAATTTTTTGGGAAATTGTAATTCATGTCTTCATTGTATATTTCGATATAATAGCAGACACTTCAATTTTATCAAGCATGCGGGGCCCGGAATAATGTGCACTGTTCCAGTGTCTAACCACAAGGCAAGCTTGCCCTCCATATATGGAAATCAGGAGGCGCTTAGTTCTCTTTCTCATGCGACGCATCAAGTATAATTAACTCAAATAAATTATTATATCCGTATTTAGCAGTTTTTTTAAAAAAAAACTAAAGATTATTTACGAGTATCTTACATTAATTTCGGATAGTGTACTGTGATGTCGTAAGTGATGACAGAGAGATATGAAACAGGGGATGGACAGTAACATCTTTCTGATTACAACTGAAAATAAAAATACGCGGTTGCCAACTGCAACCCAAGTGAGGAAACTACGGCAAATATCTCCCCTATGTGGTAACCTATTGGGGAGGCCTATGTTCTACAGTGCATTTTAAATATGCTGTGATCGTATGATATTGTAATTTCGAAAATATTCAAATAAGGGTTGACCCTGAACATTGTAATATGTATACATTATACCGCAATATCTTTGTACGCGACTAAATCTTACGTTTACGAAATGCCCTTTAAGTAGGCCTTGTAGAACGACGAGTTTCACAATAGCGCTAAAATGTAATGATATGATCTCATTGAATTGCGTTTTGAGGGCATCGACCCAATGAGACGTCGAAATCCACTCCCAGACATGACATGAAAGACCGGTTTTCTCCAAAAAACTTAATGACGAGGCTGTAGAAACGTTTCTTTGTTTAAAAAGGGCAGAGTATATTACTTACCGATATGTGCATTCCGTAAGAATTGCAAACTAAAGATTAAAAGTCACAAGATGTGGCTGGCTTCTTTTTATTTTTGACGCGAATTAAAAAAAAAAACTGTATCATTATTCTATTTTCTATATTACAACTTAATAATTCAAATAAGAATGAATTACGTTATTGCTACTTGGAATATTGTATCAATGTAGATAAAAAAAGTAATAGAATTTTAAAAAGAAAAATAAACAGACCAAATATATATAATCATTGTATGCTATCTGTATATTCTATCTCGATAAAAAAATACCGGTAAAATTAATTAAATGAACTGCGAGATATTTTGTTATATTCATTTAAAAGTAATGATATACACGTAATCGTGATAACTCTTCGTTTTTAGTCGGTTAAGACTTCTAAAAATATAGTATTAAGCAAAACACAGCAAAGACCGTTTTTATTTAAAAAAAGTGTGTGAAGTTATTTAATAAATATTTTTCGAACAATTGAGACGCACCCACTATACTTAATGCCGTTTAAATTGTTACATTAAAAATTTCATCCCCCATTTGGGTTCATGGGTCATCCCATGGGGATGGAGGTTGATTTTGTCTCCAAATTTATATAGGATTCGCTGAACTATAACCTAATTAATGAAAAAAAAAATCGTTTCACAATTCGTAGCATACGTACAAAAACATACAGTCGTATTGAGAACCTCCTTATTTTTTGTAGTAGGTTGAAAACCACTCTCACTAATTTCTCATATTTTTGCGCGAACATTACATATTACATTAAAATAATTTTACGATTTTATCGCCTTTAATCTTAACTTTTTAATTCCTGACGTTTCGGGTTTTTCACAGCATGGTCACGGGTACCGGTTTATATAAAGTACTCTGTAGTCACGGGGGGACTGAGGTGTTTGACAGTATGAACTTATAGTATCTTGAAGTTATGCAGTTGCATGCTTGGGTTGTGATTTAAATTTATTACAGCACGCTCCAAGATGGAGCCAATCTTGTCTCTGATTCCTCTGACATAATATGGTAGTAGAGGTGTGCCATCTCGACTGTGGCCAGCTTCACTCAGCCACTGTGACGTAGGTACGGGACCCGAAACTTGTTGTCTTGCGGTATTTGCTTGACGTGCTGATGCTTGGCGGCCAGGTGTTTACTGTCACCGATCCCTTATGCTCTCTGAAACAAAGATTTTCCCACGGTAGCTAACTGTAATGGCTGATGGTGAGATTCACCATTTAAATATTGGTTGGTATGGGTCATTTTATACACAGTATGACCAATAGTCTTACTGGGATTTCGGATGTTAAAAAAATCTAGGAACTCTAACTCCATTGTGAATTTTAGAGTTTGTGGAGTTAAGGTGGTCTTAAAATGTAGTTACTTTGTCAGATAGTAAAATTGTGAAAGTACGTACCGCTTGTTGAATCTTGGTTATACAGGAGCAGGAAGAAGGGTTTTATCTTCAAATGCCTCCATGAATATTTTGACGACTATGGGAGGTACAAGTGAGCCCTTCGCCACACCGTCTATTTGGTTGCAGAACTCCTCATTCCACAATAGATAGCTAATTGTGAGGCAGTGTTTGAGTAAAACTGCATATTCTGCAAGCATGTTGTTTCCTTCTAGTTTTCTGGTTAAAATCGAGATGCAATATTCAATAGATAGGCATGTAAACATCAATACTGACCTTAGTTTCATTTTCAGCGAGATGTAGGTCTTTTATCTAACTAACAGAATGGTAAAGTAAAGTAAAAAATGACTTTCAATAAGAATTACACATGTAATGTATATTGAATAAAAATTATTCTATTCTATTATATTCTATGAATCCTTTGTGTGTGTTTTAGTGTGTCCTCTAAGTTAAGTTAAGACAGTATTATTGCAAAGTGTCGAACCGACCGATTTCCTGAATCGATCTGGCTCACTGACTCACTGTGGGACGAAGTGGAGCGTTTGGTTTGGGAATTTTATTTGTTACAATTTACATTAAATGAAACTAATTTTACATAATATGTTATCGCGTTTAATTTCAACTTTTTAAATCCTGACGTTTCGGGTGCTTTACAGCACCCATGGTCACGGGGGAGACTGAGGTGTTTGTCCTGATGTCATAGTTAGCCCAGATAGCTTCACTTTTTGAATCTTAATTATTAACAGAATGAGGCTACAGTATCTTAAAGTCTTGCAGTGGTAAGCTTGGGTTTAGATTTAATTTTATTATTTATAGGATCCCTAGTAGATGGTAGCACCAATCCACCTTCTTTATTGAAATTAGGATTTTTTTTATTTAATAGTTTTTTAGACCATCTTAACTCCATAAATTCTAAACTTCAGTCCACAATGGAGTTGGAGGCAAATAATTCCTTAGCTTTTCTATACGTATTAGTGATTCGCAATCCTGATAATTGAGAATGAATCGTGTCGACAGGAGTACGAGGTAGTTGTTTATTCCGTGGGTTAAGTTGTTTACGTTAAGTGAGACGACTACAGCGCGCGATCTCGCGCTGTCGGGCGTGCCAAACCGGTTTGTTGTTGATCGTAGCGATATAACTTATCTCAGTGCGGGGCGTTCCGTTTGTTATTATAATAGACGAGTATAACGTGTGTGAGAAATATAGCTGAAAATTCCGTGTAGTGGCGGTGTTAAAATATCCACTTCCCCAAATCATCATGTGGATATCGTAAGAGGCGACAGAGGGAAACTAAGGCAGGAGATGGGCAGCAGCATATTTCTGATAACAGCAAAATAACAATTAAAAAAACTGCGGTCGTCAACCCGCTCACCAAGCGTGCCTACTTTGGCAATATACCCCCCCATGACGAGAGCTTCAAAGAAGACGACCCTCACTCCCCGGCGGCTCCGCTAATCCGGGCTACTATATATGTATGGATATTATAGAATTATTTGAGGTCCTAAGAGAGGAGGAGGACACGGTAATCATCAGTAGATCATAGATCATAGAGATAGATAGAGTAAATCCTACCATCAGGTTGACTGTGTGCTCGTTTATCATGTTTATTCTATAAAAATTAGAGATGATGACAGGAGACCCATGGTATGACTTTGGAAGAGAGTAAAGCCCCGGCAGTTTCTAATTTTAGGGTTACCTCGTTTAAAGCCAGGCCCGCATCAGAGACAGCTGAACTAAGTAAGTGGCGAAATATGAGTCTCTGAGAGATGACTTGACTTGATTTGTGCCGCTTGCTGTAAAGACTATCGGTCCAATGGGTCCGCGTGCGGTGAAGATCTTAAAGGAACTGCATCCGCGATTGGTCATCGCTGCTGGTGGTAAGATGGCTGGTTCTTTTATCGCTGAAAGGCTAAATATGGCCATTCAGCGAAGAAACGCAGCTGGCGTTCTTGATTACTATACCGCGGACAATAGGATTGTATTATAATTAAAGCTTTTTTTATTATGGTAATAAATATTGTACATAGTAGTAAAATCTTTTAAATATTTTTTTTGTTACAGAATAACTCGCAAAAATGGGAGTCGATGAGAAAAAAGGTTCAATAGTGCTAGAAAATTTTAATTCGACGTGAGTAAAATGCTATCAACGTAATAAAATGTTTAAAATGTTATTTTTTCCTTAAAATTAAGTTTTATCTTTTACTATAACACACATATTGGAATAATCTAATGTTTAATTTTACGGGTCACGTAAAATGTGAGTTTTGTTTTAATATTTATACACTTTCTAACAAAGTATAACCTTAAATTTTTACACATTTATGTAGCGACGGCGTAAGGGAATCAATGAATCCGTGATGTACCCGTTTTTGTGGTAATAGGCTACAGCACCTGCCTGATAATAACTGTAACTGTAAAATAATAAAAAAACCGCGGTTGTTAACTCCCACACCGTGCGTGGCACACAAACGTAGCAGCTGTGCCAAAATCCACCTCATGAAGTTATCAAGCAGTTCAGCAGTGGACTGTTGATAGATTGTAATTAATAAATAAATGAATGAAAAATTATTTTATGTTAACAGTACATTTTCCGTCTAGAAATCTCTCTATATAAAAATCAATTGCTGTCCGTTAGTCTCCATAAAACTCTAAAACTGCTCCAACGATTTTGATGAAATTTTTTGTGTGTGTTTGAGTTGGTCCTTGGATGGTTTAGATTTAGAATTCGCCCCGGTAGGTGGCGTTGTTGTCGAGATCCAGAAATCACCTGTGCGAAGCCGGGGCAGATCGCTAGTAGGATAATAAAATTCGATAATTAATAGATCTTTAGGATAAACTATTATAGTTATTAATACCAGAATGGTAATTTTACTAAGTCTGATTTTTAAAACTGGCAAAAATCACTCAACGACAATAAGAAAAAAAATGTTTTTCTTAATAAAATAGTGTAAAATTAACAACTAAGGCCTTTTTGTCTGTTATTTTTAAATTGTTTAAGATTAAAAATTTGTTACATGTTATGTTTATTATTATACTTGTAAACAAGTCTTAACTTCTTTTGTTAAACTAAGTCTTACTTAGTTTAACAAAAGCCTATTTACTTCTTGCCTTGCAGACTAATATTACTTATAAGACTTATAGATATAATTTTTTGTATAATATAATTTTTATCGAATTGCAAAGTCTTAATGCGTTCACTCAATAAAGTGGGCCATTTGATCGGTGAATTTATCGCGTAAGGGCCCACTTTCGCCACTTTTTTAAATCAACAGAGTTTAAGTAACAGGCGGACTTACAGTTACTCGTATTCTGAGTTTAAACAGCCACTGCTACTCGAATTCATCAAAAAATAATAAAATAAAGAGGAAGACTACAGATAACTTAAAGACTGTTATTATTTAATGATTTATTATATTTACGCGAACACTACACATTTAAATAAAACTAATTTTACGGATTTGATCGCGTATATTAACTTATTTTATATTCCCGATGTTTCGAGCTCTTTACAGCACCCATGGTCACGGGGGGGACTGAGGTGTATGACGTCCCAATGTCATAGTTAACCACGACTACCTCCAGATTAAAAATGATTAATTTTTGTTCCGATCTACGCAGTATGAACTAACAGTATCATGAAGTCTTGCAAGCTGCAATATACGCGATAAAATCCGTAAAATTAGTTTTATTTAGACTGTTATTATTTTTAAGAGTGTAGAGTATGTATGTGATGTAGCGGTGCCTTTTGAATACTATATTTTAAGTCGCCGCTATTCAGGAAACTATAATTTATCGTATAGTTTCCATACAATGATGTTTCTTTGTGATAGAGTCATGCTGCAGGTATATTATAGTTGTAGCACGAATAGGTTGGCTCAACCGGGGAAGGGCTACACTCTCACAGAACACCAGCGTAAAATAGCAGCTTAATGTTGCTATGTTTCGTATGGTGAGAGTTTCATGAATGGGTCAACTCGACCGTAGACTCTTTTACTGGAATCGAGGCATTTCACCATAGTCCTCAAGGGTGACAACGCACCTGTATTAGTAGGAAGAGTGAAATAATTTACCAGCGTTTGTATTATCGTCGGATTACAATTTGGGTGTCTTTAACGTAAGCGTGAATAGACTTTTGTTACGCTAAGACAATACGATTTATCATCTAGGGCTTCACAAATACTTACCAACAGGTGGGACTTAATTTACATACTGGCTTATCATAGTAAAAAAATGAGTGTGTAAATATTTCCGGTTTTTTTCTTATACTCACCTTTTGCAATATCTACCCGCAAAACGCGAAGTTGTTACTATAGTACTTTACACGTTTTAAAATTATCTTGAATAGATATTTATTTTGTGAGGACCTTGATGAGTTATTGCAAGTTAAATAAATATTCTTACGTTTGATTCGTTGCAGAGCTAATTTAGCAACAAATCCTGGCTTTCAATCGACGCTGAGTCTTGGCTCAAAGGAAGTTATTAACGAGAAAACATACAATCCATTCGAGCATAGAAATGTGGAACATCCAAACTCGTAAGTTCATTTATCTTTAATTTACGGCATTTATTAATTATTACTCAACTATTTTCTTTAAATCCGAATTATAATGTAATATAGTACATTATTTATAATGAACTTGTTTAATTTTAAAAATAAAATAAAAAAGAAATTGATGCAAAGTAAAAATTTATATTCTAAGGCAAATAAAAACAATAATTTATCTTTTGTTTGTGAATTTAAAACCATGTTAAATACAAGCCAACTCAGTTGAACGTGTGTCGATTTATCAAATGTTCTTTGATAAATAGGTAAAACGTGAAAACGTGAGGAATTTGCATATCTAAAAATTTCAATTTGTTTTGAAGGAATTCCGAACAAATTCCAGTTAACGCTGGCTGACGACGGATTACTTTATTTTTCAACTGTCTCAGATACGGGAGGCATAGGCCTGCCGTATCTGTGGACCGTATCCGTATCCCACTGCCGAGGATAGCCTCGGCAGTGGGATACGGATACGGTCCACAGATATAACAAGTTCAACTGTGCTTTTAATATAATAAAAAAAAACAGCAAACTAAATCTCGCAATATTGCCGAAAATTGTACGTGTGAAATAAATACGACTATATATATATATATATATATATATATATATATATATATATATATATATATATATATATTGTAGCCGTTTAGACGTGGTCGATGAGTCGGTCTGTTCGCTGTTCGGCCTATAAAGGCACCCATATACTCAGGGATGGTCATCGCTGTCAATGCGTAGCCAAATGATGGACAGGTCCCTTCGAGGCTTACCGAGGCGTGAAGAGTAGATATCCCCTCTCATGTACACTCAAACTCCGTCCCAAGGTGTAAAGAAGTGTTCCAACTTGTAACCTGGGTAAAATTAATAATATCTATCAGCCAGAGAGGATAATTGCGTCTCGGTGAGAAAGTGCGCGACTGGCTTTGCCGTCGCGAGATTGTGGTGGACAGCGTTGCAGAAATCCACTGAGAGCGTGGGAGAGTTAGAGTAGGAGTGTGCAGTAGTCGTTTTGCTGCGTTTGCCTCGAGTACTATACGTATAAAGTAGAGTTTTGTCGCTTAAGCATCCACGCCTAGGATTAATACTTCTACTTCATGCCGTTATTCTGTGAGGTACATTCATTATTACATACTACCCAGGTCGACCTGGCCATTCGTGCAACAGCTAAACTGTTGCGTGGCTCTACCACGTATTAAACTGATGAACACCAGGTGGCTTGCATGACGCTAATGATTACGGAGGCCCCCCTTAAACATGAGTGAAAAACACAAAAATGAAACGCGACAAACTCTGTAAAACTAAAAGTCAGAATTAAATATCAACAAATATAATCTTAGTGATGCAGGATTGCTTTGTCGCATTTTTTTACTATTATAATTTCTACTTTACAGATTTTTTTCCATTGCATACGCCATTAGGCGTATCATTGGATTCAACATGATTTTAAGTTTCAAAGTAACTTAAAAGTGGTTTAGGTTTTTGATGAGTGTATCAGTGAGTGATAAAAATGAGCCTTTAATTTCTAATAAACTACAATAGGTTTATTCATGAAATTTAAGATTCTAGGTTAGTTACAAGTATGTAAGTAGGTCTAATAATTTTCAAGTACCTTGAAATGGTTTGTGCAAAAAATAAACACCGCACAGATAGTGATTTCTTAAATTTACGCGAAGACTACACATTAAATGAAACTAATTTTTACGGATTTTATCGCGTTTAATTTAACTTTTTAATTCCCGACGTTTCGGGTGCTTCACAGCACCCATGGTCACAGGGGGGACTGAGGTGTTTGACGTCCCGATGTCATAGTTAGCCCGGCTACCTTCAGTTTTTGAATATTAATTTAGCACAGATAGGTCGTCTTTTTCTTTTTTGAACTGGGCTGACACGCTGCCGTCTGCCATCGACCGACACGAGCTAAGCAATTAAATACGGGTAGGGGGGGGGGGGGGGACACACCACTACTGGGATGACAGGTAAATAGCTTTAAACCGCCCATACATTCATCATTATCATCACCATCGCCTTTCCCTTTTTATCCCTGGGGTAGATGAAGTGGTGTGTCCCCCCCCCCCTACCCGTATTTAATTGCTTAGCTCGTGTCGGTCGATGGCAGACGGCAGCGTGTCAGCCCAGTTCAAAAAAGAAAAAGACGACCTATCTGTGCTAAATTAATATTCAAAAACTGAAGGTAGCCGGGCTAACTATGACATCGGGACGTCAAACACCTCAGTCCCCCCTGTGACCATGGGTGCTGTGAAGCACCCGAAACGTCGGGAATTAAAAAGTTAAATTAAACGCGATAAAATCCGTAAAAATTAGTTTCATTTAATGTGTAGTCTTCGCGTAAATTTAAGAAATCACTATCTGTGCGGTGTTTATTTTTTGCACAAACCATTTCAAGGTACTTGAAAATTATTAGACCTACTTACATACTTGTAACTAACCTAGAATCTTAAATTTCATGAATAAACCTATTGTAGTTTATTAGAAATTAAAGGCTCATTTTTATCAAAAAAATCTGTAAAGTAGAAATTATAATAGTAAAAAAATGCGACAAAGCAATCCTGCATCACTAAGATTATATTTGTTGATATTTAATTCTGACTTTTAGTTTTACAGAGTTTGTCGCGTTTCATTTTTGTGTTTTTCACTCATGTTTAAGGGGGGCCTCCGTGATCATTAGCGTCATGCAAGCCACCTGGTGTTCATCAGTTTAATACGTGGTAGAGCCACGCAACAGTTTAGCTGTTGCACGAATGGCCAGGTCGACCTGGGTAGTATGTAATAATGAATGTACCTCACAGAATAACGGCGTGAGGTAGAAGTATTAATCCTAGGCGTGGATGCTTAAGCGACAAAACTCTACTTTATACGTATAGTACTCGAGGCAAACGCAGCAAAACGACTACTGCACACTCCTACTCTAACTCTCCCACGCTCTCAGTGGATTTCTGCAACGCTGTCCACCACAATCTCGCGACGGCAAAGCCAGTCGCGCACTTTCTCACCGAGACGCAATTATCCTCTCTGGCTGATAGATATTATTAATTTTACCCAGGTTACAAGTTAGAACACTTCTTTACACCTTGGGACGGAGTTTGAGTGTACATGAGAGGGGATATCTACTCATCACGCCTCGGTAAGCCTCGAAGGGACCTGTCCATCATTTGGCTACGCATTGACAGCGATGACCATCCCTGAGTATATGGGTGCCTTTATAGGCCGAACAGCGAACAGACCGACTCATCGACCACGTCTAAACGGCTACAAAATCCCTATTTAATAGATTTTATCCGCAGAGATTATGGTCATTGGCGGTTTCAACTCTATGACACTAAATGGTTCGGTTCTCGTACCGATCTTACCGACCGATTTTTATGTATCTTTTTCGGTACTCTTACGCTTTAGTGTGGTTTCAAGCTCAATGGTGGACAGCATCAGTACATTCGATCTCAAAAAAAGGTGACCTCTTTTTGAGATCGGGTGTAACTAAAAAACTCTCCAACCACAGGCCAATCACCTTTATATTTTCCAAAATAATGGAATCCATTATAAACTGCCAGCTCATCAAGTACCTTGAAGAGCACCAGCTGATTAGTGACTGTCAATATGATTTCAGTCGAGGTGGCTCAGACTCACTGGTGGGTGAAGGCAGTCGAGAACAAGAAGGAGGTGGTGGACAGCATCAGTACATTCGATCTCAAAAAAAGGTGACCTCTTTTTGAGATCGGGTGTAACTAAAAAACCCTCCAACCACAGGCCAATCATCTTTATATTTTCCAAAATAATGGAATCCATTATAAACTGCCAGCTCATCAAGTACCTTGAAGAGCACCAGCTGATTAGTGACTGTCAATATGATTTCAGTCGAGGTGGCTCAGACTCACTGGTGGGTGAAGGCAGTCGAGAACAAGAAGGAGGCTCTAGCAGTTAGTTTGAACACAACGAAGGCTTTCGATCGGGATTAGCATGCAGAGCTTATTTCGAAGTTTCACTCTTGTGGGCTTCCCGAGAAATTATGCATTTCGGTCACGTTTTTCTTGCAGATCGTAGCATTAAGGTCTTAGTCGACCGTGCACTTTGACTCTTAGCCTGTGAAAGGCTGCGAGCTATCGCCTATTATGTATCTTCTACATTTATAGTGATATGTCGCTAGTAACAGTTACGCATCACTACAGTGGAGTAACTTGCTTTCTTTGATTTTCTGGGCGTTTTCTACCTACCTAACGTGGCATATATGCTAAATACCCCATATGAGGCAATCTACGGAAAGACCTATGTTAGTTGTGGACCTTGATAATAAGGGCTAAACGGATGAATGAATTGCTTCTATTATATAATTTGTATTTCCCATATTTCAGAACAATCGGCTCTCTGGTACATCTTCTAAAATCGTCACTGGGCTCTGGGATCTTGGCTATGCCAGCGGCTTTCAAAAATGCTGGTCTCATTGTTGGCGGCATTGGTACTTTCATAGTCGGCTTCATATGTACACACTGCGTTTATATTTTGGTAAGATACAATATTTCTATATAATTATTATCTACAGCAAATTTATGTTGAATCTATAGGCGCCACGTTTATGGAGTAGTTATGCCAACTGTGTTAGTTGCCTAGCATTTAGAAAAATGCGACTTTTGCGATATTGGGTTTGTGGTTGTGTATCTGATGGGCTTTCCACCTGTCACTTCTTTTAGAATTTTCCATTTAAACACATTTTTGGCTAAACGTGGTCCGAGTAGCTCGCCGCTTTTTGGACTTTGCGCCACGGGGATTAACGGTCAAAAGTAACAATGGCAGTGCCCAATAATAAACGAGTAACTAACTAACTTCTTCTTTACTATCATCAGCCTTTAAAAGTTCCCTGCCCTCACTTTTTAGAGAGATAATTGCCATAATTTTAAAGTTAATAAATTATAATTTGCATGTTGGTCTTCTATGTGGTAATTTATGGTAAAGCCTATGCTCAACCATGGATTTGTGATAGACTGTAACGGTTGTTAGCTCAACACTATTTCAATACCGTTACCATTACCGTTACATCCTATTAAAGATCACTGGTATGGGCCTCATCCATAGATTTCTTTTGCCTTAAAGGTGGATGTTTGCCATAGTTACAACGCTTGGTAGGCGGGTGGGCAACAGTAGTTTTTGGCGTTTATTAGAAACAGAAACAGAAACAGAAACTTTTTTATTCAATATAGATTATAAATAATACTTATTGAAAGTCATTCTTTTGTTTGATTACCACTGGTTCGGAAAAAACCTCTGTCCTGGGAAGAACCAGCAAGAAACCCAGCGGGACTTTTTTTTTTAAATAACAGCTTACAATCATGATGTTACACAAATTAACAACACAACAAATTAGAAATAGCTTGGTAGCGATCACCTCATTTCCAGGGGTTATTATCATCCATAAATTCCTTAATATTATAATAACCCTTTTTATACAAACTTAGTTTAATAAAGTTTTTGAACTTTGAACAGGCCAAACTTTGTATATTTTCTGGAATTTTGTTGTAAAAGCGTATACATCGCCCCAAGAATGAATTACTGACTCGATGGAGTCGAGTAACTGGTACTACTAGCTTGTGTCTGTTCCTAGTATTTACAGAATGAATATCACTTATTTTTATAAAACTACTTTTATTTTTGTGTACGTACATTAAATTTTCATAAATGTATTGAGAGGCCAAAGTTAATATATTAATTTCCTTAAATTTTTGTCGCAGCGACTCTTTAGGCTTTAAATCATAAATTGCTCTTATGGCCCTCTTCTGCAAAACAAATATAATTTCTGTGTCAGCTGCGTGTCCCCATAGCAAAATACCATACGACATTATGCTATGGAAGTAGCTGAAGTAAACTAGTCTAGCTGTTTCAACACTGGTTAGACTTCTAATCTTTTTTACAGCATATGCTGCAGAACTAAGTCTGCTTGCTAGTTTTGATATATGGGGGCTCCATTGAAGCTTCGCGTCTAGTGTGATTCCAAGAAAAATGGTGGTATCTACAAGACTCAGTTTCTCCCCATTTAAAATTACATTAGTATTTAATTGTTTGACATTTGGAGTCACGAATTTCATACATTTTGTTTTAGTGCCATTTAAATGCAAATTATTAACATCGAACCAATTTACTAATTTAGATATAGCATTATTTACTTCGTCATATTTTAGTAACTGTCGACTTAATTTGAAAATTAAAGAAGTGTCATCTGCAAATAATACTATATCATGGTTATCCCCTACTATGTAAGGTAAGTCATTAATGTATACAAGAAACAGAAAGGGGCCGAGAATTGAGCCTTGAGGCACGCCCATTTGTACCATCGATCCGGAAGAGCTCATATTGTTAATGACAACTTTTTGCGTTCTCTTACTTAAATATGAAATAATTAATTTAAGGGCATCACTTCTTACACCGTAGTGTTGAAGTTTCCTGATTAATGTTTCATGGTGAACACAATCGAAGGCCTTGGATAGGTCACAAAATATACCCAAAGCATCCTGTGAATTCTCCCATGCATTAAAGATATATTTAATCAGCTCAACACCGGCATCAGTTGTCGAGCGACCCCTTGTGAAACCAAATTCATTTTTATGAAGTAAATTATTTATATTAAAAAAATTTAACATTTGATCAAGAACAATTTTTTCAAAAATCTTACTAAGTGTTGGTAGTACAGAAATAGGTCTAAAATTGGCGGGGTCTAATGTACTACCAGATTTAAATAAAGGTATTACTTTACTATGCTTCATTAAATCAGGAAACACACCAGATTCGATACTAGTATTAAAAATAATAGCTAAATGAGGCGCGATTGTATCTATTATAGACGCAATAACTTTAACGGAAATCCCCCACAGATCCGCAGTTTTCTTAACATCAATAGTTTTAAAATATTTTACAATATCTTTTGATGTCACTTTATGAAATGTAAAATTCTTTGTACACACATTTACATTATGTTTAAGTAATGGTTCGGCGACGGCAGGAGAAGAATTTAGTGACTTAGTGGTCAAGATCGGAATATCAGTAAAATATTTCTCAAAAACCATTGCTACGTCCTGATCTGATACAGTTAATTTGTTGTTAACACTTAACTGGTAATTTGAATTGCGAGAGTTGATCTTACCAGTTTCGCTATTAATTATACTCCATGTCATTTTAATTTTATTGGAAGCCGTCTTAATTTTGTTGCTCAAATGCAAAGACTTGGCTATGGAGCACACTCTTTTAAATATTTTTGAATATTTTTTTACATATTCCCTAAATTCGACGCTATGATTATATGACCTTTCATGGTAAAGATCATATAACCTATGCCTGCTCTTATGGACTCCTACTGTCGCCCATTCATTGAATGACTTCCGACTGTTCAAGGAGAATGTTTTAGAAGTAAAAGTATTATTAAATTCATTGCAAATAAGCTTAAATAATGTTCCATACAAAAAATTAGGATCATTTTGGTATGAATTTTAAATTAAATTAGATTTTTTTAAATTAAATTAGATTTAGCACGTCACAAGAAGAATTTGAAATTAGAGTTTTCGCATTAAGAATCGTTGTATATATGCGTTTACATGTGCGTTTTACATATGCTTCATACATAGTAGTGCCATTCTGCAGCTATATATTAGTAGTATAGTAGTAGTTGTAATTGTATACTTCCCCGGTCGAGCCGCCCATTCGTGCTACAGCTATACTACTAATAAAACTGCAGCATGGCTCTACCTTGTCTAAAACTACTGGACAAAAAAGGAAACAGCTTATTGGTAGAGCCACGCTGCTCTTATAGTATGGTTATATTATGGATCAGCTCGATTAAGGAAGACAACTATCTCACAAAATACTAGCGTCAAGTATCAATCATCATCATTATGTCCCATCACACGTCCATTACTGAACATAGGCCTCAAACTTATAGGAGATTACCACAAAGTACGCTTTTGAGCCACTAACATGCATAGAGTACATGCATTGTTCATCAGGTCGTTACACCATCTATTTGGTGGTCACCCAACACAACGATGCTGCCCCTCGAGAAAGGTTCTCAATTAGTTGTCGGTTGTTTGAGCTCTATGGTCGGACCATTGCCATATGAGCCTAGGATCCACTGGACTATATTCGTTTCACTCTTGGTTCTTTTGCAGATATCCTCGTTATGGATGTTATCACATAGAAAATCTCCGAGCACAACCCTTTTCATCGTTCGCATAGTGACTAAGCTTCCTCATACGATGATACTTATTTATATTTTTAATTACAATGGTTTTTAATGCAATTACAGTAATTAATAATTTTGAAAGGCACATGGGAATAAACTATGCTATGACTAAAACTATACTAAGAAATATACAAATTATATATCATTGCTTTCGCAAAATCGTAAACAAGCTGACAACGGCACATTTCAACTATCCGCAAATATATCAAAGTCAGGTGCAGCCCTCAGAAGAGCGTTGATTGCGCTGTGCATTCGACATAGTGGGGAGTTAGCGCGCGACAGATTGCGCGATGAGCGATGACGCCGTCGCCAATAATCTAAGGCGGCGAGATAGTCTATGTTGCAAGTAGTGGTCAGGCACATAGATCTTGCGGAGTTCTGGGGCATCTATTACGCCTCTTAAAATTTTGAGTGCAATGAAAAGTATGTTGCGAGAACGATGAACTGCTAGAGAACTATACCCTAAGGTACCCAACAAAAAATGTGTGGGGTATAAAAATGGGTAGTATCCGTAATTTCTTTTATAAAGGAAACGCAAGAAGTCCTTTTGAACTTTTTCTATGGTCATGACATACTTAGACTCGTAAGGATTCCAAACACATGCCGCTGATTCCAATTTACTTCTCACTAAGGTGTTAAATAATTGTTCGATTACTCCTGTATTTTGAAATTCGCGGGCATTCGTTTTGGACAAAACAAATCCGATGGGTTTATAACAGTCAAATTTACAATTTATAACAGCCAAGGCGGATATATGTGCATGAAAAGTTAAGCTACAATAAAAAGTCACGCTAAGATCTTTTATATTTGTCACACGCGTTAGAGTAGTATCTCCTAAAGTGTAGACTTGTAGAGGCTGTAATTTGCGACTAAAGGTCGTAACAGCACTTACTCGTGTTGAAAACATTTTATTATCAATGCTTCACTGGTAGACTTGATCGATATCACTTTGGAGATAACTGTGATTGACATTTTCAATTATTTCAAGTGTCAGTGTTAAATCGTCTGCGTAAAGTAAGCATTTAGTATGCTTACCGACGCTAACAAGATCGTTGATTATAATAAGAAATAGGAGTGGACCGATTACCGATCCCTGACTAACTCCGGAGCGAGTATGATATGATTGGGATAGGTAACAACCATAGGTAACATATTAGCGCCGGTTGCGAAGATAATTTGAACAAAGGGATAGTAATTTTTGGCGTAAACCCTATAGCGCATACCTTTAATAAAAGTATGTCATTGTCCACTTTATCAAACGGCTTTTAAAATCGAGGTAGCACATCTACTTGCCTACCTTTATCTAGACTCTGCGAAATGTAATCCACAAGCGAAAGAAGATTAGTTTCTACTGAGCAACGGGGTCGAAAACCATGTTGTTCGTCGCATAAATAGGTTTTTAACTGTTCGTAAATGACCTTACGTACAATATGTTCAAAGTTCTTGACAGGGGACGAGAGAATCGCAATGGGTCGATAATCCTCAACACAGGACCTATTATTAGTTTTTTGAAGGGGTGTGTTATACGAGATAGCTTCCACTGTTCGGGATAAGTGCCACTATGCCGAGCCAGATTAAATATATGACAAAGGGAGGGTGCAATATGTTCCTTAGATGCTTTTAATATATAAGTAGGAACCCTATCGAGACCAACAGTGTTCTGTATTACCGGGTATTAATTTGTTGATACCTGCTTTGACTTTTGATAATGTAAAGTTGCGAATGTTTACATACCCCCCCCCCCCCCCATGTAGTGCGATTTTAGCGGCACATACTCGATTGGGATCTAGAATGGGTTTATTTGGCAGGAATACATTTGAAAAATAGTGCGCAAATGCATTGTTCTGGTTCCAAACAATAGTAAAACAATTTTATTTATTTATATTTTAGGTTAGCACGTCACAAGAAGTTTGTATAGATGCCAAAAAACCATCGATGGGATTTGCCGAGACCTGCGGAGCAGCTTTTGAATTTGGACCAAAGCGGTTAAGACCATGGGCTAATTTTGCGAGGTAGGAATCGGTCTTTTATGTTTTAACTTTACATTAGACTTTTTGCTTGGTACAGTATCATTATGGCTGCAACGTGAAAGGGGTGGCTAGACCAACGAAAAAACTTAAGCAAAATAACAAAATACCATAAAATGGAAACATAACGCTGCCATAAACAAGCGACAGTAGCCTAATGGCAGGGTGCGGACCGCGAACTCAGAAGGTTGGGTTCGAATCTTGTGAACCACTCCTAACACAAACATTTTAAGCTTACCAGCAGTGGTTATAGGAATATTAGTATAATGTTAATTTCATAGAAAGTTTTTTTTTTAAATTAATATATCATATTATGAACAGTGGTGAGAACGGGATACCCTTATCATGTAGCTAGGCATTCCATCTTGGTCCACAAGAGTTACAGGGTATTTTCATTTTGATTGTAGGTGTATATGGATCACATCATCTGTTTAAATCCATTAAAACTTCAAAGTGTCTGTCTGTAATATTGAAATAACTGATATAGAGCTGTGGGAATACCATTTTTTTTAATATTTGTCTGTCTGCCTGTATATCCTTTACATGTCTGAATGAAATGAAGAGAGTAATGCCAGGAGTAATCTATGCTATATTTTATCAGAAAAACTTTTTTAACGAAAAATTGATAAAATAAACCTACGTAGGCGAAACCGGGGTAGCTTGCTAGTTAGAAATATACTCATTAAACGCATTTTAAATTCAAAAGTGCTTGAAAGACTTGTCTTGTCTGACAAGTTTTGAGTTGGTATTTCAGGCACTCAAATTAACATTATATCTAACTCCCTACTAGTACTAGTCAATTAAAGAATGGAATGTCTTTTGTTTGACGCATGCACGTTTATTTATTTTATTTATTTATTTTATTTTATTTTATTTAATAACAACCTTTTTTACATATATTCATTGATTCCCTGGTCCCTGAGCTAGTATAACTGTGTTTCAGGAACCAGTTCCTCCCCTTAAAGTTAGCCTTGTTAAAAGGTCAATTTCTATATAATAATAATAATTTAATTATTTAGAAAAGTAAAGAAATATAAATAAGAAATTTAAAAAAAATGTTATTTTAAGCGCTTGTTTTGTGTGTGTGTGTGTGTGTGTGTGTGTGTGTGTGTGTGTGTGTGTGTGTGTGTGTGTGTATGTGTGTGTGTAATTGTTCGTGTGTTGATGTGTGTGTAAGTGTGAGTGGGTGTGTGTGTGTGTGTGTGTTGGAATATATTATGTGTGTGAGTATTGCTTGTGGTAAACCTACGGCATAAGTGCTTCTGTGCTGTCATAATCAAGATTCTCTAACCACACTCTGATCCTTGCCTTTATTTGGTGGTTACTGTAATTATTTAAGTTTAATTTAAATTCCCTGTATAACTTATTGTACAAATGCGGGGCAATGTAACTATAGTGTCTTTTCGCAAAAATACTTCTTGTTCTAGGGGTCGGGTATTTGAATGTCCTTTTCTTTTGAATTTTGATACATGGTGCAGTTATACGATGGTACCTTCGTATGCATTGATAGATAAAAAGTTTTCTTACGCTTAGTACTCGGGCTTTTTCATACACTAGTGTAGTTGGATAACGAAATGGAAGCAATAGCATTACTTTTAAAATACATCGTTGGGCAAGTTCAGCTTCGACGAGAATTGTCTTACAAGCCCCGCCCCATGAACAGATACCGTAACATATTAAAGACTCACAGAGAGTCCTGTAAGTTTGCAACAATAACATTGGACTTGCTACAAGCCTTAGTAACTTAAAAACATAGACAAGCTTTCTTATCTTTTTACTAAGTGATATTATTTGATGTTTCCACTGAAGCTTTTCGTCAATTATAATTCCCAAATATTTTATTGTGTTAGTTTTAGTTATGTAAGGGCAGTTACAACATATTGGAACATCATCAAGTTTGTTACATGGACTTGTATGAATCTTTAATTTAAATTTGTCATTTGGTTGACCCGCACGAGTTTTGCTGAAACAGATTAATTTTGTTTTGGTTGTATTTAGTGAAAGTAGATTATTTTCTAGCCAACAAGAAATTTTGGCCAGTCCCGCCTCAGCAACTTGTTTCACACGCTCCCAGCTCTTTGCATGAAATATTATTACGGTGTCGTCAGCATACATAGTTATATTACCGGCGTTTAATTCAATTTTAGTCATGTCATTTACGTAAGTTAAAAATAATGTCGGTCCGAGAGTACTGCCCTGTGGGACACCGTATGTACATCGCATGTCATTACTGGAATGTCCATCCACTCTAACGCACTGCTTTCTGTCACATAAATAACTTTGAAACCATTGCAGTGCAATCCCTCTTATACCCAAGTTCTCCAACCTCCGCAAAAGAATCGACGTTGACACTGTGTCAAAGGCCTTTTGTAGGTCAATGAAAATACCTACACATCTGTCACCCTCATCTACGTACTTATTTACTTGTGAGGTCACGTTTAGTATACAGTCTTCCGTTGACTTACCGGTTCTAAAGCCAAATTGATTGGGAGACAATAACTCATTGGATTCTAGATAACCAATTAGCCTCTTGTTAACAATCTTTTCTACAATTTTGGACATGACACTTAACAAAGCTATAGGTCGGTAGTTACAAGCAAGGGTTTTATCACCTGCCTTATGAATAGGCGACACAGTGGCTTTCTTAAATATCTCAGGAAAAACTCCTGATGAAAAACTAAGATTACATAGATGCGATATTGGCTCCGCTAGAATACTATGAAACATTTTTAACATTCTTGTAGGGATTTGATCATGACCTGCAGCACTATTATTCTTAAGATTCAATATCACGCATCTTACTTCAACTGGGTCAGTTGGTGACAGTAGCATGGAGTTTTTAGGACTAATGTTATTAGTTGCTTCTCGTGTTAAATCTGCCTCGCTTTTATTTAACTTATTAAGAGTCTCGTTGGCAAGAATTTTACCAATCGATGTAAAGTACTTATTGACCTCATTAAGGGAGTCAGTTGAATTTTCTTTGATTCTTAATAGTTCCATAGATTTCGATTTTGGTTTATTCAGATTACACAATTCTTTAATAGTTTTCCATGTTTCTTTGCTGTTTCCTGCATGTTTTTTGAGTTGAAATTGGTAATAGTTACACTTTAATGTTTTTACAATCTTGTTACAAATATTTCTATACTGTATATAGTAGTTTTTAAGGTCTTCGTTATTTATATTATTTTTAAGTCTTTTATGAATTTTGTCTCGCTTTCGTATAGATCTTACAACACCAGTGGTGATCCAAGGTTTTAATGGCCTATTTCTATTGGGAATTTTTTTATTTTCTGTGTTTAGTGTAATAATTTTCTGCAACAATGTGACTAAGTACTCAGCCGCATCATTAGCTGATTGTAAATAATAGAACTCAGACCAGTTAATAGATTTAAGTCTCTCTCCCATTTTATCAAAGTTCATAATAGTCTTAGTTAAATAAATGCTTCTATCGCACTTCCCAATTGACGATGCTTCTAAACATAATAGTATTGGAGCATGATCCGTAAAGTGTTCGAATACAAGGGTTTGTGCTCGAAGACCTGTTTTAACCATAAAATGATCTAGGCAGGTACCATCTCTTGTCGGAACACTTATTCCAGGACGTAAGCCATAGGAAGCCATTATGTTTAGATAGTCAATGGTGTAGCATGTTGGACTATTTGACATAATATCAAGGTTAGTATCACCTGTGAAAACAATATGCTTAGTTTTTATGTCACGCAATATGCAATCGATGGACTCTAGATAGGGACTAACATTTTTAAAACTTGGTGGTCTATATGTACCAATGACTGTGTATTGACGATCTATTTTTACAATTAGACAATTACCTTCCTTTATACTTGGTTCAAAGACTTCAATATTCTGAAAAATACTCCTAACATATATAATTACACCATCATTTTGATTGAAAGTATGCTTAGTGCTGAAAGCTTCATAATTATTGATTATTGGTATGTGTGAGTCTTCATTGATCCAGCATTCAGTGAATACCAAAATATCAATCATTACATCTAACCTAGATAAAAACACTAGGAACCTATCCAAGTTACAATTTATACTGCGTATATTTACACATAGGATTGAAAATGGTTTGCCTTTTTCAGTTAGGTCTAAATAACTTTTACAATTGGTTGGATCATCAACGTAGCTACATTTGATATCTCCCGAAGTGTCCATATCCTCAAATAATAATATGTTATCCATGTAGAATAAAAGAAGTTTCACGGCCAAAATGATATGTGTCTTATAAAGTAATATTGAATCTTAGAATGTAGTACTGATATACATCCTAGTTTTTGTTCAAAATTCATTTTTGAATACAAGATATATAAAAATATAAAATTAATTATAATATGTGTAAACATTAAAATTATGCTATAATGAATAAAAATGATCATTGTGTAATTTGTTTTGTAGCTGTGAAAATTTATAAGTGTTGTGTGTTTTATTGTAATATTGTAGGTTAACATTGCAAATATAATATGTAGTGTTTGGTAATAGTGTAAATGTGTATTATAGTGTAAAAAAATAAATGTTATTTGTGTAGTGTTGCGTAGGCAATTTTTGTATTGTGTATGTATAAAGCGCAATGTGGACTTACAATTATAATAATATAGTAACAAAAAATTAAATTTAAAGTAAAAATAGTACATAAAAATTGAGATAATTTTGTTCAAGCCTAGTCACTGACGAGATTCCAATATTTCCAGCTTTTGAAGGTCTGTTTCGTCATTAATACGCTGAGCAGAAGATCCTTCTGCTTTTCTCAAATAAATAACTCCATGATTAACCCAACAATACTTATAATTTTTATTTTTTGCATAGTCTCGAGCCAGATAGAATATGCGCTTGGCCTTAGGTGTAAGATTCTCGGAGATGTAAATGGGCTGGGACATCCCTTTAATTTTAATGGTTGAAGTAGTTAATTCCCTGTATTTCTTTTTGAATGATTTAACGGAATTGAGAAGCTTTTCTTTCGTCAAAACTGATGTGAATTCAGCTATGATGGTTTTGTTCTTTGAGGAACCCGACTTGACACGGAAAATGTCCTTAATATCTGCTGTCTGGATGGGTGAATTTGTAACCAAACCAACTTCTTTTACTATTTTAATAAGGTTCTCTTTTGTTTCTGGTTGCCCATGTGGAATATTGCGTAACTCAATGCTTGAAGATCGAGACCCGCGTTCTAGGTTTTCAATTTTTTGTTCCAGCACTTTAATATATTTAAGATTACTTCTACGTTCCGTTTCCATTTCTTCCAATCTTACCCTTATTTCCTCATATTTAGTCGACATAAAGTCGACCGAATTCCGAATATCATTATTCTGCTCTTTAATTTGGGTAATCGTAGCCATCAATGTATTGAGTTTAGCATCTTGTTGTTGCTTAATTTGTTTTAATGATTCCTGAATTTCTTCCATAAAATCATTTAAATCAATATCTTGACGCCGCCTTTTTAAACGGTTTGCAATATTTGACGTCGATTCCTCGTCAGTCTCGCGTACAGACGTAATGTCTGGGGCTGAGTCATAAGCGGAATGCTGAGGCGATCTATTAAGCGGCATTGTACTAGGGGATATGGGGTGGCGACGATTCACGTAGTACTCACCGGTGACGCAGAGGACAATCGGTGCACGTGCAGTGTATTGGTCGGACGATGCTACGCCTCTCGGGGCGGGCAGTAAGCGGCGATGGGCGGTGACGGTGCAGCAGATATCTCAACGCGCCGAGTACCAGGAGCTAATGGTCGGTTTAAGCTCTTCACTGTTAATGCACTCCTAATTTTTGGATTTAATTAATTTTGTCAAAATTCACTTTAAATATTTTAATTGAAAACAACGATAGATTCGGTTTGAAACGCGTCTGAACTCCTCAGAGGTCCGGGGGGAAGGGGATTTGATTTGGATTGTTATTAAATTTGCGAAACAAAATACTCTTATGAATATTTAGATTTTGCGGACTATTTTTTATGGCTTAATATTTCAATTTAGTAGTGAAAAATATGTGAATTATTTTTGAACATCGAAATATTTATGTAGTGCTTCAACAGAAAATGTTCAGTTGTCTCTAAGCTCTATAGGCAATATATTTTTTTATAGCAGTAAAGGTTATAGCAGTAAAGGTGACAAACGAATACCCAGTAGTCCACCCGATGGTAAATCTAATTAAAACCTAAGAATCAAAATACAGATGCGTTGTTACACTTTAGGACGAAGATTGGATGCTCCTTTATAAGATAAAAAAAATCTACTCTCACAATACAAAACACAGTAACGCTATGTTACTATTTTACGCTGGTATTCTGTGAGAGCGTTGTCCTTCCGCGAGACACTGAGCTATTTGATGTCCTGATGTGACAGTTGTTTACCCGGGATTTCGGACAAACAATAGCTTATTGAGTAAGTGCTTGTCTAAATATATGTGGTCTGTCTGAAATGGGTGGGATGGTAAAGTTTATCACTCGGGACGGTCGAATGGCCAAGGCTAGGCTCTGAGATCTATAGACTTATGACTTTGCTCAGACTTTAGTTACGAAAAACTTAGCTGAGTATACGCTTAGCATAATCTTTGATTTTGAATTTATAGTTGTATCGGGATAAGATATAGCTAAGCTAAGGTCCAGATAGTCAAAAAATTTATTGATGCTCCATTATGTTCTTGATTATAGTATAAATATAAAAATATTTAAAAATCGAAAACTCTCTAAATTGTATTTCATAAATAAAATTAAAATATTGCATGGAATAGAAAACGGGCGTATGAGAACGGGAATAGATGAGAAGAGTGCAAAATCAGGAAAATAGAAATAAAGATAAAATCATCTTTTAGATTTTAAGAAATTCGAAATAAATTTGAAATTACGTTAATAGAAAGTGGATTAGTGCTATTTAAATCAAGAAGACTGCTTAAAACTACCTATTTATTGTTATAAATAATTAGAGTAACATAAAAACGACAATTTAAAATTAATGCGGTGGTTTTGGATAATATACTTAGTCTTACTTAAGTCGTCGATTTCGTTGATTTAGGCTTTGCTAAGCACGGACTCAACACGATTTCGAAGTTAGCTCTATATATACCGACATTGTCTTAGTACGAAAGTGAAGTCTGAGCAAAGTCAAAGTACGGTCTATAGATTTCAGCCTAAAACTCTGTAAAAGTTAACCGCCAAGTGATCGGCAAATTAACGCCTAATTCTATTCATTATATTAACACTTTCACTGTCCGGTTTTCAGACTCAATAGTAAGACAATAGCAATGACCTGTATGTAGTGCATGGGACAGCGAAAGGGAAAGCTTATTCTTTGTCCCATATATTTGGTATACTACGAGTTTTCAGTCCTACAAATATGTCACTAGTTGCTAAATTGCAAACGAATTAAGAATTAAACTAAAATAAAATTTCCTTTATTTAAACTATGTTAATTTTTATAATGTTTACATTATATTTTATAGGACCTTTGTGGATTACGCGCTTGCCTGTACTTACTTGGCCGCTCTTTGTGTCTATATTGTTTTCATAGCTGAGAGCTTTAAAGAGGTAAGTCCGTGGAATTAATAAAAATAATATTTTTTATTTTTTTATTTTATAGGATAGGGTGACAAACGAGCACACATTTCCAGCTGATGGTAAGTGGTTGCTGTGGCCCATAGACATCTACATTTATCCTCGTTTGCGAATCAAAATGCAGATGCGTTGTCACCCGTGAGGACTAAGATGGTATGCCTCTTTTCCAGTAAAAATTGTCTCCGGTTCTCTACACCATACGAAACACAGCAGTGTTAAGCTGCTATTTTAAGCTGGTATTCTGTGAGAGCGTGGTCCTTCCCCGGTCGAGCCGACCCATTCGTGCTACAACTATACTACTAACTTCCCTTTATATTATTCCCTAATATATGTCCCTTTACTAATTATGTATAGCACTCTTTTAAAAATACTCTATTAATCTAACTATATTTTATGCGTGTTCTCTTTCGAACATAAAAGTGTCTCTCACAATGGGGCTGACCCCATTTTACATTCGATAAGGTAATTCCAATCAGACATATTTTCCACTTTAATATCATCTTTTTATGCGTTAAATATGCGTGAATAAAAAAGATTGCTCGGAACTATGCATTTAAAAAATTATATACTTCATGTAACTAAATTTCTAAAAATATATCATAATCGTTAGCTCATCAAACACTTTCAAATAACGTGTGATATTTTATGGCGGATATTATATGTAAAACGATTCATAACTTTATTCGAAATACTGCCGTGTAGTGGCGGTGTTGGATAAAACACTAACCAATATCATTCTGTAGGTGTCGTAACAGTCGACAGAGGAAAATGTTATCAACAGGCCCGCCAAACATGGAAAATATCCCACTATGAGGCAGTCCGTGGGGATGGAATTATTTAGCAGTAGACTTTGATAGGCTGTTATGATGCTGATGATGATGATAATTCAAAATATGTATTGCTAGCTCATAGTTCTTTTTGAATTATCAAACGATATTTAATATATATATATATATATATATATATATATATATATATATATATGTGTATATATATATTTATATTTATAAAGAAATGTTTATTTAAAAAGAATAACCATAAATGTGACAAGTGTTGCGATAGCGCAAGAGATAATAGCTCACTCTTAATATGTAAATTATAATTTAAAATTAAAAATTTTGTACAACCGACTTTAATAATAATTATTAAGAATAACTCAAATAAAAAAAGAATCATCTAAATCGGTTCACCCAGTAAAAAGTTATGAGGTAACACACATAAAAAAACATACAGTAGAATTGAATACCGTCTCCTTTTTTAAGTCGGTAGAAAAGGCAGTGCCCTTTGTTATTTACTTACACCACAGTGGCCAAGATCATGTGAAATGAAGAGGTACAGCAGATGAATCCGCAGCACTACTCCAGTAGCATTTATAGCGGAGTTCAGTTGTCATTGTTTTTTTTTTTCATTTCTCAGATATATTCCAAATTCTAGATTTTTTTTATATAGGAGAGGGGGCAAACGAGCATGCAGCTCACCTGATGGTAAGCGACTACCGCTGCCCATGAACAACTGCAACACCAGGGAAACCAGGGGAATTGAGAATGCGTTGCCGGCCTTTTAAAAAGGAGTAGGCTCTTTTCTTGAAGGTCCCTAAGTCGTATCGGTCCGGAAAAATCGCTGGTGGTAATGGATTGTAGGGCGCTTAGGTTTCGGTCTGGGTTTTTATTACCCTATTAGCTATTTCAGCCGCCAAGTAGCAGTTCATATGCTGCTTTGCTTCGGCCCGAAGGGTATAGAGAGTTAGTATTTTACAGGCTGTGAGGCTAATTCCTCAGAGGTAACAACGCATCTGTAGATTTCTTTGTTTTAAGTTGGCTGCATATGTTCATGGACTGCAGTAGCCATTAACCATCAGGTGGACTGTGAGATCGTTTGTCACTTTACTTTGAAAATATACAAGAATCCGTATGATTTTCTACTAAAAGTAGAAACCGATTAATAGTTTAAAATTAAACATTTAGTACAACCGACTTCACTATAAGTTATTAAGAATAACTCAAAAACTATTAATCAGAACTTGATAAAATTTATATGGGACCACATGGGTAGCACCAGCTTTCAAATAAAAAAATAATCATCGGAACCGGTTCACTCAGTAACTTATGAGGTTATGAGGTAACAACCGGCTCCTTTTTGAAGTCTGTAGAAAAATTATATTAATGCTCATGGTAATCAAATTTAAATTGCTCAGTATTACAGAACCTGGGTACTGATGTTAAATATAGACGCGGGCTCGGCCTTTGAGGTATTCTCATATCTTATTGAATGTAATTCTTCATCATCATCTGCCCGAAAAGTCCACAGCTGGATATGGATCATTCCTTCTGATTTGTTTTACACGCTTGGCAGGCGTATTGGCACTCGCAGTATGTTGCACCTTTGTCGATGATGCCCTGCCCCACCTGGTGTGAAAGAGGTGGTTATAGCGCCATCTATCGGAAGCTAAAAGATTATTCTGGTATTTTATGTAGTTAGCTTTTTAGAACACCTACGGGCTGAGGAAATAGAAAGCCGCTACCACACTACTACTATCTTCAGACTATAATATAATATTATAAAATTTTATTGGTACCAAAATAAAACTTAGTTAAGATATTATTTTAAAGTGTGAAAATATCTTGATAGTATGAAACAATAAAGTATAACATCAATAAAATTATTTACAGAATGTCATTTATGTACTCTTTATCTGAACTCTCAACAGGTCTTGGATGAATACATGCCGGACTATATACTGTCAGTAGAGACTTATTGCGCCCTGACGCTTGTTCCTCTGGTGCTGATCTGTCAAATAAGAAACTTAAAATGGCTGGTTCCATTCTCGGCGATCGCCAACGTGTTGCTTGTTATCTGCTTCGCGATTACCATGTATTATATCTTTAGTGATCTTCCAAGCCCCGCTGAAAGGAATATGGTTGCTAGTGTGCCACAATGGCCACTCTTCATGAGGTAAAATTATGCAAAAAATTACTTAAAAAAAAAAGATAATTATATCTAAATCTGTATTTCAAAATAATTTCACAAGGTATAAGCATCATTCATTATTTCATTCATTACAATCCGTCAAAACTTTACTGCTGAACTTTACATTTCCTCTATATATTGCCACATCACAACCCATGTTATACCGTGGGTGTCGGAAGGAGCGACAGAAGGAAATTAAACAGAAAATGTACAATAATTGATAAAGCCATTATGTTTTACGTCACAGTTTATTCATGAGGCACCCATTTCTCGAATTTACTTTATTTAATTTAAGGTTTATAGCATATTTTTTTTTAATATTTTTTTATTAAAACCTCAAAATCCGCAGAATATTCAGTGATAATTTGTTAAAATATTAACAATTAACACAACTTTCGTCTTTTTACATTAAACTCAACATTTTCTGAAAACATACTAGTCTTCTTTTTGGATTATTTAATAGTTTCTTCCTTATTCTTCACATCAGCTATGTGTGCTTTTACGCGGATTTTTATTGGTCTTTTTGTTTTTCCTATGTACTAAGACAACATTCATAAACAAGCTTGTACACTCTTGCATCTTGCAGAGGAATATTACACTTGACTGATGGTAAAAAGTCGCACGCTGATGTAGCCAAGATGTAGCCAATATTCACAACTATAACATATGGCAGTCACGCGCTCGAATGGTTTATTTCTGGTTTATTTCTTTCTGAATCGTCGCTCCAGGAAATCTGCAGTCTGTGAACACGTACAGGATCAGCCCGTCACTACATCAGATTTGATAAACCACAAATTCTCGCTAAAGAACACCGATTCCTTCCAAGGATGATTCGCGAGGTTATTGAAATCAAAAAACATCCTAATTTCAATATAGAAGATAGCTGGGTGCTAGCATCTGTTTGGGATCCAATAATTAATAAAATCGAATCTCAACCCAAGCATACAACTGCAAGACTTAAAAATACAATAAGTTCATACTACGTAGATCGGACCATTAATAATTTTAACCTAAAGGTATCCGTGGTTAACTACGACACTAGGACGTCGAGCACCTTAGAGCATGGGTGCTGTAAATTTCTCGAAACGTCGGTAATATAAAAATCAAAATGTGTAGTATTCGCGTAAACATAAGAAAACATTATAATATTTAGTGTAAACAATTTAGGTATCCTTTAGTTTTGAAGAAATTATTTGCACACCAGGCTGCGTAATAAAATAAAAAATAAAAGCGTGCTAATTACCAAAAACGTCGTCTATAATTTAGTAACGAGACTAAATAAGTACTGAACATACGCTCGTACATTAGTGTAACGTTTTTTTTTTATAGAATAAGCGAGCACACAGTCCACCGGAAGGTAAGTGGTTGCTGTGGCCCATAGACATCTACATCTATCTTCGTTTGCGAATTAAAATGCAGATGCGTTGTCAGCTGTGAGGACTAAGATAGAATGCCTCTTTTCCAGTAAAATGGGTCTTCGGTTCTCTACACTCACCATGCGAAACACAGCAGCATCAAGCTGCATTTTACGCAGGTATTCTGTGAGAGCGTGGTCCTTCCTCGGTGGAGCCGACCCAATCGTGCTACAACTATACTATTAATATAGCTGCAGCGTGGCTCTACCACGTTTAAATAATTTATAATTTATCTCATGATATGCGTTATTCAAACTTCTTTTTATGATTAAAACAAATCAGTAACGATTAATTCAAGTTGTTTTAAGTGGCGGCGTGAGAATTTTCATCAACCCATTACAATGTTATACCTACCAAAAAATCTTGTGGCTTCCGATAGGTGGTAGTGTAACCACGTCGTTAACAACAGGCGAAAATATCCAAACCGACGACAGGAAGCGTCAAAGATTGGAAATATCTTGCACTGTTCAATCAATTCACTTCTCCGTTTTGTCCATGGTTGTCTTAGAATCAAGAAAATCGCCAAACAGTTCTAAAAACCTTCGAAAGATTATCATTTCTTAAATAAAGGATGAAATTAAATACTCAGACCACAACTACAAAAAGCAGCGTCAAGGTCACACTTCTGATATTGTATTTCGTCAATCAAAACCAAAAGTGACAGTTACGAGTCTGTTAGGTAGGGTAGGTTGGTTGGCTAGTATACCCTCTAGTCTATTTCTGTCATTAAGCAGAAGTGTATCCCGTATAGTTAAAGCCTTCACAATAATTAATTTACTAAATGGTTGGACTTTTTTTCTGCCTAAAAGTACGCCTAGATGGGTACCAATCTCTTACCTACATATTTCTGCCGCCATATAGCAGTGCTTGCGTTGTTATGTTCTGGTCTAAAGGTTATAAAAGTTCAGTATAACTACATGTTACACAGACAACGCATTTGTAGTATATTTTGTTTGTAGATGGTTACTGGTGTCTATGGAACAGCCAGTTACCATCAGGTGGACAGTAAGCTCGATTGTCACTTCATCTTTAAAAAGTATTAAATTGACAGTACATCATTGTAATATATATTTATACTCTATCTTTTTTTTTTCATTTTCATCATGTATACTTAATTTTTAATATTATTTCAGCACGGTAATATTCGCCATGGAAGGTATCGGTGTCGTGATGCCGGTGGAAAACGAAATGGCGAAACCGGAACATTTCCTCGGTTGTCCTGGCGTACTAAACGTCGCTATGACCATAGTCATCGGATTATACGGGCTTGTTGGCTTCTTCGGTTACATTAAATATGGCGACGATGTTCGGGGGAGCGTGACGTTGAATCTTCCACAAGATGAGTTGTGAGTATAGCATAAAAATTGATATCTTAAACCTAATAAGAATGTATATAATACGAGTATTAATTAGGTCGGGGAAAAAGTTTCCTCGTACGAGTATTTTATATACAAATTCAAGACATTTTTATTCAAAGTTTAATTACATTTAATTATAATATAAATGTCCCATTTTGTTCGATAACTTATTGTCATCAAAATCAAAAATTCGACAAGGAGTTTGACAGTCCTCTCTTGATGTTAACCTAACACTATCCAAATTATTCTGAAGATACTGAAACTTAATATGAAGATTCACCTTGTGCTTCTGAAATTTAAGGATGGCCCAAAGTGCAAAACTTCTGATGGCGCTTGCGATCCTCTTCACATACAGCCTCCAGTTCTACGTACCAATGGAGATGATCTGGCGACAAATACACAACAAGATCCCAGTGAAATATCATAATATTACGCAGATATCGATTCGCACTACAATCGTTCTTGGTTCAGGTGAGTGTCCTCTAAATATTTTTAGCCAGCTACGAAAAAGTATTAAGTTGTGTTTTCAATTGTATTTTGTATAACGCGATATTGCGCTAATTGTGATCTATTTTTTTATGAATTATTTTGATAATAATTAAATAAAATTATTAAGAAAAACTTCAATAAAGGCCCCGTTTAAAATTAATTACAAAACTCCACGCCAAATAATGAAAATTAGGGGACTTAGTAACTAATTATACGATATTCCGGTTGTTGCTTTGATCTTGCTGAGCCCGAACAAAAATCAATCGGTCAAATATTCAAACTTAAAAAAAAAAAGTAAATATTAATTTCAAGAAACTAACAAGAATATTGCACATAATTTAATAACCTCCCACCCTCCCTCAATCGCGCTCACTATACCCGTCGCCGTGAATCCCAACACTACCATGCCCAGTACCACTACACTAGTCACGACACTCCACTCTTGATCACCACTCCCGAAAATACGACACGTGTTTCGCCTCTACACGAGGCATCCTCTGGTGAAGTAGACTCTGCGGAGGCTGACTAGCGGACTTTCTTTACGCGGAATTAAGCAAATTAGTTTATACTCGTAACAACCCCATTAACAAATATTACCTCAATAAGTCCTTCAAAATGTTCACGATAGCATACACGAATATATATATATATATATATATATATATATATATATATATATATATATATATATATATATAGGTAGTATAAACAAAGCTGCAGATTTACTATTTACTAACTCCTTTTCTTTCAAGGAGTTCGGTTAGGTAGATTACGTAGTTTTGTTGCCAAATAACAGTAAATGCTCTGCTGTCCTTCAATCCCAAGGATATAGAGAGTTAATATTATTAAAGGCTCTAAGAAATTCCGTTATGGTCCTCAGGTGTGACAACGCATTTATAGCCTTTTGGAACGAAGTTCCTTATCGGACGGTACGAATTTGGCGGATAGGGACTAGGCAAGAAAAAGTGTAAGATTTTTCCGTCACGACCCCCTAGTGTAGATGGCCTTGGTGGCTATAAGGAAGCGCGATGGAATAATATACAACTCCCTCGCACTTTTTTATCTTGCCATGAAAGAAATATTATTTTATTTTAAATGACAATAATAAAATACGTTTATTAATAATAATATACTACGAAAGGAACATCGTTCCAACCGAGTGTTCCACAACACTCACGCATGTTTTTTTTGTATAGAGATGGCTGTAGGTGTCTTTGGATTACAGTAGCCACCATACCATCAGGCGGGCTTTAAGTTTGTACTTACAGCCCGCCTGATGGTATGGCGTCACTTCAGTTTTATAAGGAGTTTTGGCGGGAACTTGAATGGTTTGAAGTGGACTTTAATATGTAAAAGTGGTGCGATTTTGTGTATTAGTCTCTGCGCATGTGAACTATTAGTGGAAACTGTGAAACAAGTGCTCTGATGGTGATGTGATTCTCAAAATAAGGTGTCTGTCTGCTTAGGCGCCTTGAGATATCATCGCCAACCGTCAGCTGTCTGCTGGCTCAAGTTGCCGTCAAAATCTCCCAAGGGCTGCACAATATGACGCATCAACATATTGTGAAGGATAATTATTATAATATATTGTAACTTCAGGCTCAGAAGGGCTAGATCCCAGAGCCGTAAAGCCAGTTATTAAGAAGAAGAAGTCAGTTTTATAAAAGAAATTGTATATTTCCATAACATATGTGTATTCCTTACAGTTGCACTAGCCGCTGCATTTCCTGATTTGGAGTTGTTCATCAGTTTGTGTGGAGCCATCTTTCTATCCAGTCTGGGTCTTTTTATACCAGCTGTCATCGAAACGGTCCACAAATGGGACCGAGGGCTTGGTTTCCTTAACTGGATCCTATGGAAGAATTGCTTCATCGCTGTTATAGCTATAATTGCATTGTTCGCAGGATCATACGTTTCTATTACTGGTATAATAGAAAAGTTTAACCAGCCCGTTCTCGAAAGACTATTGAACGGTACCTTAAATATGGTAAACGAAACGTTAATACTTTAATGTGATAAAAATTTAAACTAAAACTCGAAATAAAACAATAAAAAGACAATAATCACACTAACATATTGTATTGTATAGCTTTTATTTATATATGTAATTATAAGTACTGTTAAATTGTAAGATTCAAGTGATTTAGTCGAAGGTCTATTCTGCCGTCCAATATCTAAGAGGCCAAATAGTATTTGGTCTATTTTAGTTATATCTAAACGAACCTTTACATAATGACATCGCCAAACAGATTAAAAACATTTTTTTAAGGATAAGGGTGACAAACGTGCACACAGTCAACCTGTTAGTAAATGTTTACTGTGGCCCATAGATATCTACATCTATCTATCGATTACAAATCAGAATTCAGATGCGTTGTCACCCGTAACGAGTGGATAAGATGGAATGCCTCGTTTCAAGTAAAAAGGGCCTTCGGTTCTCTACACTCACCATACTAAACACAGCAGCGTTTAGCTGCTATTTTACGCTGGTATTCTGTGACACCGTGGTCCTTCCTCGGTCGAGCCACAGATTACTAAATAGTTTACTAAAGTAAAGTCGAGCCGACCCATTCGTGCTACAACTATACCAGTAATATAGCTGCAGCATGGCTTTACCACGTAGATAATAATTAATAAAACCAAACTTAGAATTTCTTCTATGCATTTCTGTAATTATTCAATATTTGTTAAGACTTAATTTACCCTGTTTTGTGAATAACTCAATATAACTTTTTACCAGTTAACTGTGTTTAAGCGATGGAACGGCAGCATTTTATCAGCCTTTTTATAAGACAATTAGTACAAAAGTAAGTTTAATTTCACTAAATAATAATATAACAATAAAATATAACAGTAGAAAATAAGAGAATAACCCCGCAAAAGGAAAATCATAATAATATGTTTTGTAAATAATCATTAATTGCCAAATGTCGACTATTTAGATGACTCAGCCCGAGCCTATATCCTTTATTAAAAAATCTACCTTTTTTTGCATATTTTCTAACTTTATCTAAATTCTTCGGTTTCATTTTAAGAAATTTTATTTGAATTCTGATTACGTCCTGTTTTTAATTTTTTAAGCAAGCTTGAAATTAAAGATTAATTTGTTAAGTTTCATTGACGAATATAGAAATTAATAGTTTGTTACAAGAACTGAAATGTAAAATTAATATTGAGGCACATTTTCTTTTAAATATTTCTGTGATAAAACTTCAAATTAAATAAATTCGCATGGCGTGCTTTGCAATATTGTGACAAAATTGTACAATTGTATTATCTTACTTATTTTTACTTTACTAAAATTGTCATTACTCGTAACACTATCGTCACAATTTACCCCAAGTTATATTTTACTCTTTTGAAAAAAGTTAAATATCATCGTAACCAACATTATCCGATTATGTAGAAAATAAAAGAAAATAGTACAAGAAATAAGAATGTTATTTTTATATTAGTACATATGATGTGAAAAACAAAAATGTGATACTTATTTTTATCTTAGTTTTACCAAATAGGATTTAAAGTTATTTTAATTTTAATAAAAATAAAAAAATTAAATATTTGTTGCATTTTTAATGTTTCATGTGAATTTAAAAACTCGGGCGATCACAATGTCTGTGGTGTATCCAAGGGGTCTATTTAGTAATATTTACCAGATGGCGCATTCTTGAAAAAGCCTTTATTTAGCAGTGGAGTCTTTTCAACGATTAAAAAGAAAACGAAAGACAAAATAGCATTCCTTATATAATCCAAATAATATTGTCCACGTACACAATAGTACATCTTTGCATTTTATATCGCATTTAGCTTGATAAATACTAAATGCACCAGCGCTCATCATGAAAAAAATCACGATACCATCCACATTACTTAGAGGCTTGGCGGTCCACTAGTATGCGATTTACCAGAAGTTTTCTTCCTCTCACGACTTCTTTGTGGAATCGGCTACCTCCATCGATTTTCCCGACAAATTCGATAAGAACCTTCAAGAATAGAGCTTACACATTTTTAAAAGGACAGCACTGCACCTGCGATTTCCCTTTTGTTGCAGTAGTTTATGAATATTCAATTGATATCAAGTGAAGTCTTTATAAAAAACCCACTTCTTTAAAAAATAGTACAATAGTAAATGCTGGACCGTATATTACCCCCGTGTAGTGCCGGTTAGGAAAATTTTTACCCCATATCTTGCCGTGGGTGTTGTAAGAGGCGATAGAGGGAAACTGAGGCAAAAGATGGACAGAGGCATCTCTCTGATAACAGCAAATTACATTAAAATAACTACGGTTGCCAAACCGCTCACCAAGCGTGGCTACTATGGCAACACACCCCCATGACGAGAGTTACAAAAAGACAGCTCGCAGTTCCCGGCGGCCCCGCTACTACTGGCTACGGCGGTAACCATGATACGGGTAAGGCAGGGGGCGCTAACAATCTCCGGTGGAGATTCGGTTGCCACCTAAGACGACTCGACCCTATAGCGCACGCACTCTGAAGACTGACGCGAAGATCCTATATTATAGAATTATCTAAGTTCCAAAGAGAGAGGGATGATACGGTAACCCTCGAATCGAGCGTTGTCATCCTTGAGTAAAACCAATTCTCATTCGTAATTCTCGAGCTGGTACTCGCCATTTATGTCGCTGTTGCAATTCAAATATCCAGCTTCCATTTATTCCAAAAACGCTGACGGTATTTTTCCAGTTGTTTAAATCTGTTAAGCCGGTTGAAACTCGTTGAAGTATGATCAGGTGATGGAATCGTATCTAGAGCACGTCCGATGAGAAAATGACCGGGAGTGAGTGGAAGTGAAATCATTAGGAGAGGACGACATAGGATATAGAGGGTGACTGTTAAGGATGGATTCAACTTGACTAAATAAAGTCGCCAGCTCTTCAAAAGTTAAATGTGTAGAACCAAGGGTTCGTTTAACATGAAATTTAGCGGATATTACGCCCGCCTCCCATAGACCGCCAAAGTGCGGCGCACAAGCCGGGGAGAAATGAAATTTTATGCCTTCGTTCGAAGCAAAATCGTAAAGGATTGATCTTTTAGTTGGATTTACATTTTGAATATTATATTTAGTGGGGAAATTTATAAAATCGTCGTTAGGATTCCAACCGACACTTAGAATGTGAGAAGAACAGCTTATCACTAAATCTTTCTGAATGTCAGCCTCATCGGACTTAAATAAAACAGATGGAGAGTTACATCGGTACTTTCGCAAGTTAAACCCACCACTAGATAAAACGGACTCTACGGTTTCCTTAATATAACGTAATTATTGAGGAGAATCAGAGCCGGTAATTAATCATCGACTAAGAAGTCGTTTTGAACTATAGTTTTAATTTTATGATCCTGACATTCCTCTCCTAGCTGCCACAGACAGCGGGTACTTAGAAAGCTTGCGCTCGCAAAACCGCAGGTCACTGTATTAAGACGTACAGATAATATTCGTATGGGCTCTCTGTCATTTTCGCGCCATAAAATTAACTGTAAATTACGATCTTTGGGGTCAAATAAAACTTGTCGGTACATTTTTTCTATGTCTCCGGAGAGTACATATTTATAAAGACGAAATCTGAGTATAATATTAAATAAGGTATCCTGAATAGGAGGCCCCACCATTTGGAGGTCATTAATAGAGAAGCCTGAGGTAGAGGGGGCGCTGCCGTCGAAGACAACGCGAAGTTTTGTCGACTCATTGTCTGGTTTTATCACCGCATGGTGCGGGATGAAATAAGCTGGAGATGAAATAACCTCAGTAGCTTCTGAAAGATGTCCAAGATCTGAATATTGACGTATAAAATCAGAATACATTAATTTTAAATCTGAATTTTTTCTAAAACGTCTTTCTAACCCTAGGAGGCGCCTTTTAGCTAACTGATAAGAATCGCCTAAACAATCATGTTCAGAAATAAGTGGTAATCGAACACAAAACCTACCGTCGTCCATATGACGAGTATTTTCCAAAAGTGCTTCTCACATTCCATATCAAAATTGGACAATATCTTATTAGATTCAGGGATATCCTCAACTTGCCAAAATGAAGTAATTTGCTCTTCAAGGGACAAGTGAGTACATAAAACGCCATGAACATTAGTCTTGCTAACAGACTTTGAAGAAATTGGGCCAGATAATATCCAACCAAACCTTGTATCTGTGACTATAGGTCAGGGTTTGTTACAGCCTAGAGTGATCTGTTGGCCTAATATTAATTGCCAAAATTTATCAGCTCCAATAAGTAGATCTACAGGAGCAGACTGAAAGAAGTTAGGATCAGCAAGGTTAATATTCATAGGTAAGTTTAAATGAGATATATCAAGTTGGACATGTAGTAGATCGCCAGATATTTTAGGTAGCACTAAGCAAGATAAGGTAAGTGGGTAGTAATTAGTAGATTTAGACTTAATACGAACGGAGGTAAGTTGTTTGTCACCTACGCCTATTATATTTTTGTTTGTTTATTCAGTGAGCAAACAAAGTTTGTATTTCAAATTTTCAGTTAGTATGGAAGCCTGACTGCCACTGTCTAATAAGGCGCGCGCTGTCTCATACTTGTTAGTAATGGGATTGTAGCAAGACGTGGTTGTTACTGAAGACGGACTGTACCGATACATTGACTGTAGTGTCAATGACCTCAAGGGTTTCATTTGATGGCTCAGTCTTATTTGCAGTCATATTTACGGATGCATTGCTTGCCTGAGGAACCTCGCGGTGTAAAAGCGTATTGTGTCGCCGCTTACAAGTAAAACAAGGGCCTAACCTGCATAGTCGCGTAGGATATCCTATACGTAGGCAATTTAAGCATAATTTCAACCTGGCCACCTCGGTGATACGCTAGTCGATAGATTTGGACAAGATAGAAGAGCAGCCGTAGACGCGGTGCGGCCCGCCGCAATATACGCACGACGCCGCCGCACCCACCGCTCCGCTGGCAGCGCTCGCAGTAGATGACGAGACACCACACATAGACGAGCTGGGTTCCATTGAAATAGCATGAGATTTTAC